ATGGACTTGAAGACATGGGGAGGGGGAAGGGTAAAATGGGATGAAGTGAGAGAGTGGCATGGACATATATACACTACCAAATGTAAAATAGATAGCTAGTGGGAAACAGCCACATAGCACAGGGAGATCAGCTCAGTGCTTTGTGACCACGTAGAGGGGTTGGATAGGGAGGGTGGGAGGGAGATGCAAGAGGGAGGAGATATGGGGATATATGTATATGTATAGCTGATTGACTTTGTTATAAAGCAGAAACTAACACACCATTGTAAAGCAATTATACTCCAATAAAGATGTTAAAAAAATAAAGATAAAAAAGAAAACTTTCAAGGATCTACTCCAATGATGTCACTAGGTTCAGATAGTTTCACAAAAGAATTTCAAACATTTGGCGTTAAGTAAATGATCAAATTACATACAACAGAAAGCAGTAAGTGGTAGGAAAAAGGTAGCTGGGGAAGGAGACTAGGGAAAGAAGAGAAATAAAGGTGCTGAGTATACGATTACAATATCTAAAAATGGAGGCACAGAAGGCCTCATTGAGATGAACAGTGACATTTGAGCAAAGACTTGAAGAGCAAGCCATGTGCATAGCCTTGTGCATAGCCTTGATTACAAACCAGATAAGGACAGTAGGCTAAGGGAAAATTACAAGCCAATCTCAGTCATGAAAATGGACACAAAAAGCTGGACAACCCAAACACAGCAATGTGCTTAAAAAGTTAGTACATCGTGATCAACTTGGGTTTGTCACAGGAATGTATATTTGGTTTAACATTAGGAGATGATATACATTTTTTTCACTACATTAACAAATTTAAAAGATCGTTTCAATAGATACAGAAAAGAATTTAATAAAATGCAACACTTATTCATGATTAAAAAAATAAAACAAACAAGCAAACAAAAAACTCTTAGAAAACTAAAAATAGAAGCTAAGCTAAGCTTTCAAAAAGGGCAACTACCAAAATCACACACATGGTATATGTTACCAAACCAGGTTTGTCTCGCCTGACGCCCAGCAAGTTGAAACACTGAGATGCCGAGGTTTGCAGCAAAGAGGGTATTTATTCAGAAGACAGCCAAGCGAGGAGACAGGAGAACCAATCTGAGCTCTGCCTCCCAAGGCAAGGGGCTCAGGGTATTTATGGGATAAAGAATAAAGAAGCAGGGCGGTCCAAGGTATGGGGAGTGTGGGGAAAGGTGATTGGAAAAAGGTGTGGTAACTGACATCCTGAGCAGGTTTAACTAGGCTCCAGGCCTCTGCATGTTCTGAGGGTAGAGTTTTTAGCCCTTTGATGTCAAAAGATCACCAAGCAGACACTCTGGAATGCCCAGCTGAAGGGTGGGTGGTCCTATCCAGACTCACCCAGCTCAGCTCAAACTATGGCAGCTGACTCCAAGTTCCTGGAAAACAACTTGGGCAAACACCTTATTGTCTAGGCTAAGTGCAGCTTGGAGGTCAGGCAAATCTTAAAACGACCTTGATTAGTGACGGCAGGTGAAATGGATTTAACCCACGGTTTCAGTATCATCACTGTTAATAGAAACTTTAGAAACATGCCCTTTAAAATTAGGAAAAATGTCTAGTATCCATGCTTTTATTCATCTTCGTACTGAAAATCCTAATCAGTGCAGGCAGAAAATGAAAAAAAGCCTACGAACTACAAAGACACGAGAATGTCATTATTTACAGATGATATTATTATAAGATCCCAGACTCTACAAATTATTGGAAGTAATAAAAGTGTTTAGCAAGTTGCTGGAGAGAAGAAGACCCAGGTCCCTGCTTCCGGGTCCATCCTCACAACACACTTTACGGGGAAGTCCTCCTCACTGCTGACTCACCGTGACCCCCCATCCAGCAGAGTCCTTCCACCGAGGTGGAGGCCGCCGTCAGCCGCCTGATCAACCTGCACCTCGGGCCTCGTCCACTTACCTCTCTCTGAGCCTCTACTTCGAAGGCGTGGGGCGTGGGCCGCTTCTTCCGGGAGCTGTCTATGGAGAAGCGCAAGGGCGCCCAGCGCTGTCCCCGGAGGAGTGGGGCGCCAGCGTGGGCACCACGGAGGCCGCCACGGCCCCGGAGAGGAGCCTGGACCGGGCGCTCTTGGATCTGCAGGCCCTGGGTTCTGCGAGCGCAGGCGCCCAGCTCTGCGAGCTCCTGGAGAGCCACTTCCTGCAGGAGGAGCTCATCAAGAAGCTCCTCAAGAAGATGGGCGTGCACCTGACAGACCTGCGCAGTCTGGCCGGGCCCCCAGGCCGAACTGGGCGAGTATCTCTTCGAAAGGCTCTCCTGTCAGCGCAACTAGGAGCCTCCAGAGCCCGGCGGCCTCTGCGAGACGCCCCTGCCTTCCCCCGCCTCGAGATCTCTGCCCGAGCCCCTTCCTCCAGCCAGGAGGCAACCTTTTTTAACCACCCTGAAACCTTCACCCAAGCCGTGGCACCACATGGAAATAAAAAAGTTCTTTTTGCAGAGGAAAAATAAGCTAGGCTATAAGAAGAAAACATAAGTATCTGAATAGCATGAATGATTCGTAGTCTAATTCTCTAGATTTTCTAAAGAAATGGTTCCTAATTTATGTGTATCACCTGGGTACGCTGAGTGCAGTGTATCTGATAAACTATGTTTTCTCTGGCAAGAAGAATAAAAGCACCTATTCAGACAATGTTGCATAGAATTTTAAGGGTTTCAGGACTTCTCCGGAGACATTCTGGGTACTGTATTCAACTCTGTTGTTCCAAAATGTATCTTTGGTTTTGTTGAGCAGAGCAAAGAGCTGAGTACCTTGACCATATCATATTGTGTTCCCTGTTCCCCCCATCAACCTCCAAACTCATGATAAAATTGCTTTTCCTGATTTTCAAGTTGATGTGATGCCATCTGCCTGTATTGAAGAAAGAGCCCTGTGAAATTCATCTTTGTGTCTCCCATTAGGTTGCTACTGAGGACACTGATTATTTAATTACATCATACACTGACCTCTTTATGAAGCCTCTCAAGAGAAATTTCTTTCTGGTCTTAATATTAGGAATAACAGTGCTTCGCTTGGGTAACTGGTTTGGTTTTGCTTTATGAACACTGTAAATGATGTAACTAAGTTTCCTTTTCTGACTGCCTGCTGAAAACTTAGAGCCAAATTTGTGGTCCACCCAGAGTAAATGAGTAGGATTATATAAGCATTTTGCATACGTTTCATTCCTGGTTCTTCTATTACTAATTCCTTGGTGTATTTTATGGAGTCTTTTAAGCCACCTTAAACCCTTTCTGGAACAATGTTGTGTATAAGCAGATAAATAAACTTTTAAAATGTGGATTTAAAAAGAAATAAGACCCATATCAGAAATCAATTGGATATTTATATATCAATTAGAACAAAATTATATAACAATTTGAAAAAAATAGAGACAAAATATAAGTTATTTATAAATAAATCTAATAAAAGTGCAAACTCTACACAGAGAAAAAAAATTAACTTTATTGAATTATATTAAAGAAGTTCTAAATAAATGGAAAATATGCTACGTTCAAGAATCGGAAGACTTAGTTCTCTCCAAATTGATGTATAGATTTATTGCCATTCCAATTAAAATCCAGTAGGTTGTTTTGTTTTGTTTTTTTCCCTGGAACTTGGAAAAGTGATTCTAAAATTCACTAGAAAAGCAAAAGTTCAAGAATACACAGGATACTCCTGAAGAAAAAATAAGGTGTGGCTTGCCCTCTTAGATGCCAAACCTTTAATAAAGCTGGAATGATGAAAACTGACTTTGGCACAGGAATAGGCAAACTGACCAGTGGAACAGGCTAGGGAAGCAGACTCAAGAACATACAGAAACATGACAGATGACGTAGCTGTTAAAGGGAAAGCATGCACTATTCAATAAACTGGTTTCCACAGTGAGGGGCGGGGGGAGTAATTGGACCCTACCTGTCACCAGGCACAAAACTAAATTCTAGATGAACAAAGGCTTAAAAATGAAAAATAAAACCTTAAAACTTTTGTATTTTTATGACTTCAGGATAAAAATAAATTCATTTAAAAAGATACAGAAAGCAGTCATAAATATTAACACCACTCCCATATATAAAGAGCTACAAATCAATAAGAAACACATAACCCAATTGAAAAATGAGCCAGAAACCCAAATAGATATTTTAAGGAAAAGGAAATGCAAATGGCCAATAAGCATAACAAGAGCTTAATCTTATGAGTGATTGGAGAAATACAAAAGCAGACCCTAAAGAAATATCATTTTACACCCACTAGAATGGCAAAATTAAGAAATCTGACTATACCAAGTGATGATGAGTGCATTGAACAATGGGAACTCACTGTTGGTGGGAGTATAAATTTGAAACCAATTTGGCTTTTACATCATCTAGCCTATGACCGAGAAACTTCACACCCAGATACTCTGTAAAAACTTTAGCATATATGCAGGAGATTAGACTATTCATAGGATCATTGTTTATACAGGCTGTAATCTGAAAATAACCCACATGTCCACAGACAAGAAAATAAATGAATAAATGGTGGAATAGAGGCACAATGGGATATTTTGCAGCATTGAAAATGAAAGAACTATGGCTACATGTAATCTAGATTCTCTTAGTGACATAATGTTAAGTTTAAAAAGCGAATGACAGAATACTACATAGAATATGGTACAACTTTCTATACTACCCAAACACAAACAGAACTAAGCAGAGTTGTTTCAGGGCACATACATGCGGTAACAAAACTTAGAAAATGGGAGGATCCAATGATTAACACAAAATTCAAGATAATTTTTAAAAAAAAATCTCTGAGTAGAGAATGAGGGGATGGGAGGGAAAGGACTCCCTGAGGAGATGCAATAGGCTCTGGTAAAACTGTACTTCACAAATTAAGTTGTGTGTTCTTTATATTCTTTTGCAACATTATTATTAAAATATTGTGAAAATTTTAAACTTAAATTACAAAAAGAAACTGGAAAGTGCCTCGTTTCCGGTGTACTAGCCATAGATGCCGCCCGCAAGGTGCTCTGGGTCAGCACTCTCGTTGGGCGTGGCGTCCGAGGGAGCGGAGCCCCCCAGGGTCGCCGCACGCATGTGCCTTCCTGCCAGCCAATCAGAGACGCTCCCGGACGAGGCGAGGCCGGCTTTTCTTCGCGAGAATTCTGACCTGCTTCGGAATAGCTTCGAGGCTGTGAAGAGGTGAGGTCTGAGGGGTTGGGGCAGGGGAGGCGGGAGCGGCGGGGACTCCTGTACTGAGGCGTATAACTGTGGTCGTCGGCCATTGGGGTGTTTTTCAGGTGTGAGGAGGGGAGCGTTTGTCCCGCGCGGGAATGTGAGCCAGGGGTTATTCTTGACCTGTGAGGTAAATCTTACCCGCTGGGTCTCCCTGGGGCCCCTGACAGGAATTTGAAGGCAGTACAGCTCCCTGCGGGCAGGGCCGTGAGTGGGCGGAAAGGCGCTAGCTGCGCTGCCTCGGGACTGGACGCGACGCTGGGCGGGTGGACAGGTTGACAGCAGGCGAGGAGGGTGGGCCCTCGTCAGCGGGCCCACACCCCGCAGAAACCATTTAGATGAAGCCAGGTCTCCCCTTCACTGGTCCTCGAGGCCTGGGTCGTGGAAATCTTACGGGACGTTATTTTCTGCGGCCCAGGACGCAGAACGTTTTATGTTGTATTTCTGTTGCTGGCAACTTCTTTGGGGCGGGCTCGTGATCCATCCTGTCAGTAATTACGATTTTCACATTGTGACTGAAATCAGCTGGATCTAGATTTGCCCCGATTTAGACAGAACCTGGCCGGGCTAGGATTCCGCCGCCCTCCCAGTCCTCAGAGGCGAACCACCGCCAGTGTCAGGGGCGGCGCAGTCATTATCTTCTTCTGTTAACTTTTGGTCCAACAGAATAAATGAAGAGACTCCTAAAGTGGTATTCAACTAAAATCATCTTTATTTGATATCTCTCATTTTGAAATTTGCCAGTTTATTTAAGTGGTGTCTTTGGATTCAGCAGGTTTGATTTTTTTTTTTTTTTTTAATCAGAAAACATCGAAAAATGGTGCCCTCTGGAAGAAAACATACCGGGAAATCTGGGAAGACATTCATGGAGGATCAGGTTATAAGAGCCTGTGACTTTGAGAAAGCAGATAAAAAACATCTGATTGGTTCAGAGGATGTCATCGAAGGTACCGTATAGCTAATGTTGGGCAGTGACCATGTCCTGCATTTATTTTCATGTACTTCATGTTTCTTATTTGGACTTAGTGAAGCTCCTATAGCATCTTTCGCCTGATGTCTGATAAACAGTACATAGATTATTATGACATTAACACAGGAAGACTTGCAAAATTGTTCCCATAAAATGGTCTTGGATCCTGATTTAATTCCATCTAACCTGCAGAGAAAGTAGTGCATTTATATGTCTGTTTTAAAAACTTGTCTTGGCACAAAGCCTCAAAAAACCTCGAAATTAAGATATTACTCCATTTAAAAATTACCAAAATAGCATACTTAATTTCAACTTTTTCTTTTTTTATTGTCAATTCAGGGAAGACTCCAGTACTTGATAAACATGGGAAGAAAAGGACTTCTGCAGGAAAAGTTGAAGACGTGGGGTAATATGCTTAAACAATTTTCACCTCTTAGGCTTTAAGAAAAGTCTGTTTGGTTGTACAATGAGTATTGCATGTAAAATACTGGGCATGTGATATTTCTTCCAGAACAAGAATGATATTTTATGGATCCTTAATTAAAAGTTTTTTGATGTATTTTTTTTCACAGGGGTGAAGTACAGAATATGCTGGAAAGATTTGGAGGTATGTTGTAGGAGATATTTGTATTCAAAATTGTTTTAAACCATATAATTTATATAATAATCAGTGGAATATAAGACTTATTTAATGCTTTGTTCTCATATGTAAGATTTTTGCACAAGTATATGTGGTTCGGCTTCATAGATTTCCTTACTAACTTTTTCCAGTTGTTGACGTGAAAAGAGATGGTGCTAACGATGGTGAGTTAAGAATGGTCCTGTTACTTTATAGGTGTGTGAGTTTAATGGACTATGAAATTTTAGAGCAAAAATGGATGGGAAAAGTGTCTATCCCTCTGTTTGGACTTTCATGGACTAAGTGATACAAACACACGCACATATCTGTATATGTCAGTTTTTCATTTTCTCAATTTAGTTATTTTCTATGGCATTCCTGTGTTCTTTAGGAAGGGCAGTGTAAATTTAAGCCTTTAAAATAACTTTATTTTATTTTTACATTATTAAACTATGTAGTTGAGAATTAAAGACCACCTTGCTAGTAAGCAAGAGATCAGATAAAAAGTTCATAAACTTTAAATTGTATGTCAAATATCAGTTACATTAACTGTGTTAGGGGATAGTATTCTTATAAAAGAGTCAATATTTGGCTCCTCTCTAGTGTTATTCATATAATCAAGTCTTTTTTGAAAGCTTTGCCCTATTTGGTAGTAACAAAATGCTTGTTTTATAATCTGTCTTATAAATTTATTATTATAGATGGATATTGGAAATACAAAACATTTATGTAATAGTGTAGGTCACCTCATCATGATTACTGAAAAGTAACTATTGATGGTAGATCCATATGCACGTGCCTAGCAAAGGATTACCTGAAGTATTAAAAAGTTTATGAAACGCAGTACTTATATTATTGGTAAAATGTCCCATAAAAATGTATTTAAAAGGGTTCTTTTTTCTTTTTCTTTTCTTTTTGGCTGTGTTGGGTCCTCGTTGCAGCACGCGGGCTTCTCACTGCGGTGGCCTCTCCCGCCGCGGAGCACGGGCTCCAGGCGCATGGGCTTAGCAGCTGTGGCTCGCAGGCTCCAGAGAGCAGGCTCAGGAGTTGTGGTGCACTGGCCCAGGTGCTCCACGGCATGTGGGATCCCCCCAGACCAGGGCTTGAACCCGTGTCCCCCGCACCGGCAGGCGGACTCCCAACCACTGCGCCACCAGGGAAGCCCTAAAAGGATTCTTGAATGAATTTATTTAGATATTTACTTAAAATAAGATTTTCCTATGCTTGGTTGGTCTTTGTCTCTTTTAGTAAAAATATTTTTTAAAGTATCAACTGACTATATTTTAAAAAAGTATTTTCTTTAACTATTTTTATTCTTTTTAGACTCTTTTGAAATAGTTTTGCGTTTCATATAATGAGTTCTAAATTTAGCCTTTATTAGTGTTTTCTTATGAAGAAATTAAAGTCTGTCCTTCAGACCCTTTCTTTCAGTTATTAGCTCTTTTAAATCACCTCTAAATTAAAAAATTATCTCTAGTTAGGAAAATCAGAATTGGGATACCAATAACTAAAAGTTTTCTCAGAAAAAAAAAGCAAGGAAATAATCTTGCTTTTTGATATTATGTGTATTTTTAAAGATCTTTTCAAAACTCTTGAACCAGCTTTATGCATGTTTATTTGAATACGTGGGAACAAAGTAACTTTCTTCCACATTAAATTTAATGAATATTTATTTTCAATATAGCTGATATTAACAAGGCTCTTCTTGCCAAGAGAAAAAGACTAGAAATGTATACCAAGGCTTCTCTCAAAACCAGTAACCAGAAAATTGAAAACGTTTGGAAAACCCAACAAGAGCAAAGGTAAGGATGTTGTTTTTTTCACTGCCACAACATTTGCATCATTTCTTAGTATTCATCGGTGCAAATTATGAGAAGTACTATCATCTTCTACTTATTGGGATCTCTAGTAAAAAAGTATATTTGGCTTGATTTTCCTCTAAGTCCTTTAGTCCTATAACTTCATTCCTTCACAGACTTGAGATATATTTCCTAGAAATCAATAAAGATGTCCTTTTTCCCCTTTTAAATAATGTTTGAGGGTTTTTTTTAACAATAAAGGTAATTTATATTCATTCTAAAAATACACTAGCTGAATAAAAAGTAAATGTCATATAAACCATTAGTCTTATGATAGTTAACTGTTTAACAGTGTAGAAAAAGATCAACCTTATGTATTATAATTTGTATATTTTAGCTGAATTAACTATTCTTTTGTACAAAATCATTGTACCAAAATGAGGAAAAATTAAGTGAAATATTTCTATTTGGAAATCTTATATGATAAATATAATAACTTCAGTGAATCTATTTATCATATCACAACCTATATTCAGTAGGAGAAAATGAAAAATAAATTGCTTGGAGATAAAATGGACTTTTCTGGAAAATGTATATGTACAATAAAACTCCCTTAGTTTTCAAGAGCTTAAAGTACATGAGAGGGTTTTTCTGTTAGTTGGTTAGGAAAATAAATACTTCTGAGTCATCATAAATCATAACTTTACTTCTTGGCTTCACATCTGAAAATTTGATATTCTTTTTTATTATAGTATAATTAGTCAAATCAGTTTTGTCTTGAAAGTCTTTCCATATTGATGTGAAATATGACAATATTCATTATGTTTTACAGGCAGAAGCTTAACCAAGAATATTCTCAGCAGTTTCTGACTTTGTTCCAGCAGTGGGATATAGATGTGCAGAAAGCTGATGAACAAGAAGAAAAACTAACTGTTAGTATTATGCTTAGCTTTATAGCTTTATAATTAATCTACTATTACCAAGTGTCAAGTAGGAAGGGAGAGGCCGGCCTTGCAGTACATCCATGGACCTTAGCCAGGTTCCATTGCCCATTGCTGGCTATGAGTTTGGTTCTGCTGAATGCAGAAGTACAGGCACATACCATACTCATAAAAGCTGTTGGTCTTTGCTTCGTAACATATTGTTAATATCAAGTTTGCTATTATTAATACTATGCAGAGGTTATAGTTTTTGGTAATGACAAAATCTAGGGTATGCGTATGTAAGTGGATGGCTAAAGTAGGGTGAAGAACAAAAATCATTGGTGGAAAACAGGCCAAGAAACTGAAAGACCAGCAATATTGTAAGGATCATCTGTGTTGACATTGAAAGCACCAAGAATTAAAATATGTTTTGAGTACTGTTGAGATTTCCTACTCAATGACCGGTAGGGTTATTATATTATTGTATATAAGTGGTGAACACAAATTATCTAAACTCAGTCATAGTAAATGCTAAAATCTTAAAAATATTGATTTAAAAACTATTCCTTTTAAGTGTAATGTAGAATTAATTTTTGCTTAATTTTACCCAAATTGTTATTTCATAATTTTTTCTTTTACATTTGTAGAATATGTTTCGACAGCAACAGAAAGTTTTTCAACAGTCTAGAATTGTTCAGAACCAGAGACTGAAAACAATTAAACAATTATATGAGCAGTTCTTAAAGGTTTGTTGTATTTGGTAACATAATACATTCTTATAAAATATAATTCATTTGTGGAAGTAGAAGATAAATTTTTTCTCAGTTTAAGGGAAGAACATTTTGCTTATACATTTTAAATTCTTAACAGTTTTCCATTTTGAATGCATTGTTTTCGATTTAATTTAAGTGCTAAATGCTGTCACTAAGTATTACCACTTGGTGTAGGAACTTTAGTACTATATTTGACTCCTCCATCTCTCTTATTCTTCACATCCACTGCTACTGCCCTAGTTCAGAACCTCATTATTCTTTGCTTATACTATGAAAACTTTTAACTGATTTCTGTTTTCCAACCCATCCTTCGTGGGTCTGCCATATTTTCTTTCTATAACATTACCTTTTCCCTCCTGAAAAACTGTCAGTAGCTTCTCATTCTAAATTCTTAGGTATTCAAGATTCACCCCCCAAAAATATGATTCTTTTTTTAATGCTCCAATTACTACATTCATCCATTACTTCTACCCCCTCCACATAACGGCTTTCTCTGAACTCACTCACTTTGCACTTTCATGCTTTTGTTTATGCTCTTGCCCTAGAACACTTTTAACCCCTTTTCCTAACCTTCCTTTCAGTCTTATTCTTTTGGCAACTAAATTGGAATTAAGTCCCCATTTTCTACTATATAGCTACAGGAAGTTTTGCTTCTATTCCTTTTATAAAATTTTGTGTTATTTTTGTTTGTTTCTTCCAGTGAGAAGGTACACTACTATTGTACCTCCTTTAATAATATTTGATTTATGTCTGACATTTTCTATTCCTTCAGTGGATATTTTGGTTTTCATGTATTAGAATATTTTTATTTGAGATAAATAATGTGCATTGTTGAATATTAAAAAGTTCCTGCTTTTGAAAATTAATTGTATAAGTTTTGAACCTGAGATGAAAAGTGGTGGTTTGTAACTGAACTAGCCTTTTGTGTTTTAGAGTATGGAGGACTTGGAGAAGAATCACGATTATCTACTTACTGGTGCACAAAATGAACTTAGAAAAGAAATGGCTATGTTGCAAAAAAAAATTATGATGGAAACGGTAAGTTATTATATTTAAAATTGAAAAAATAAGGATTGTAAGCATTGAAATATTTTATTTGCTGAAATATGTATAACACTTATCTAAAAATTAAACAAATGTTTAATATCTCCTTTCATTTGACAGCAGCAGCAAGAGATGGCAAATGTTCGAAAGTCTCTTCAGTCCATGTTATTCTGATGACTCTTTGAAGGAATAACTTGAACCTAAGTAATATGATACAATTATAACATTAGCTAAGAGGCATGTAAGTTTTTAGAGTGGTTGAAAATTCTGGTTTAAAATATTACATCATATTAATCATTAGCTTAAGTGCAAGACCCTTCTTCACCTCCAAATAAAATAATGAAGTTATGTGAGTAGCAGCAATTCCTGAATTATATGTACCACTGTGCTTTCAGCTCTTTAATACTAATAGTGATTTTTTCTAACATTTGTCAATTAACTCTTAGCAATAAATATGATTTAATTTCAAGTTTTGGCTTCAGTGTATTTGTATCACTTCCAAAAGGTAGAAAGCACAGGTATAGATGGTTAATTAATTTTGTTCTTAAGAAAAAAACCCACAAAATCTGTTTTATACGTACACCCTTCCATGCATATTCATTAAGTTACACTACCAATTCTAATGAAAATAAGATTTCAAAAGAAAATACATTCTATTGACTTACAAAATTTATTAAACGCAACTTAAGTTTCCGTTCTGGAATAAATTAAACTGCTAAAAACCATTAACACAACTGAACAAGATATATAAATAATCCATTTTAAGACATGGATTTGTGAATGTCATTTCCACAACATCAAAATGCCATTTAATTTGGCTCAGTCCACAATTAAATGACACATGCCCTTAGTAATGATTAAGAGCATATCATTAACATACCTAATTACTTATGGTTTAAGTATTTCACATCTGTCTTTAACTATAAATTACACAGAATGTCTTATTTTTCAGTTTTAATATTCAGTAAATATATGGATGTTTTTACATTCACTTCCAAATTTGAACAGTTAATTCCTATATCCTGTATTTTAAAATGTGCATTTTTTAACATAGAAAAACATATGAAACTCTTGATTTAATAAATATTAAATTGTTTCAGCATTTGTTTGAAATATTTGAGTTAAACTTACTATTTTTTGCTGAAACTACTTTCACTGAATCATTCAAAAACAAAAAATATGCCCAAAAGACGGAGAAAGGAGTGACTTTGTCCTGTTTTTCCATATTTTAAATTCTAATTTTTGCTGCATAACCCACACTTATCTTAGTTTTAGGTTTTCCAAGTTTTTAAAAATGAATCCATACTAATTCTCTTTTTCTAACTGCTAACTTATGTAGGAAGAAATTAGTCCTCCACCATTAACAAATATCTGACATTAAGGGGACAGTTTACTTCCTAAATTTTTGCATTTTGTAAAGCCTTTTAAGCCAAAGTACATGCTGGAATGTAAATTTTAAGTATTATAAAATTTAAGTTTTAAGTACTGTTCAAATTAAGAAGGTCCTTATTGAATTTACCAGTTGTTTCAGAGGCAAAATAAGTCCTCCAGAGTATTGTCTGTGTACTTAATTCACATAAATATATATTTTTTCCTTTTTTTAAAAAAATATTTATTTGTCTGCACCAGGTCTCAGTTGTGGCATGTGGGATCTAGTTCCCTGACCAGGGATCGAACCTGGGCCCCCCACATTGGGAGCATGTAGTTGTAGCCACTAGACCACCAGGGAAGTCCCTATTTTTTCCTTTTAAGGAATATCAACTTTCACTCTTTTTCAGTATGCCTTTTTCTTGCATATTAAGATATAGTACATGTTCATTACTCCTTTTTTTTAAAAAAATATTTCACCATATGGCTTATGGTCTACAGAACTGTTGGATAAAATTACAAACAGGTAAGATGGGAGTCCGAGGATTTGGATCACCAAAGACCCATGTGATAGTTCTATTATTCATAATAAGCAAGGGAAACACTTTTAAGTGAGAGTGGAAAGATGAGAATCAGTACATAATGTAGTTAGTTGTTGAATAACAGATACTTATTTTATCCCCATTTTACCTCAAATGAGTAAAAGTGTACTTGAAGTAGCTTTAGCTGATATTCTAAAGGGAAGATAGTTTTGCTATGTTTTCATAAATTACTAATTTTCTTACATGTCAATTGTGCTTTGGCTATTGTTTTGTTTTTCACAAAGGGAAATGTTTAATGTCTCCTTTTTTTGTGACAGTGAAGTTTAAACTCAGAATATCAAGGAACAAGTTGCCCTCACTGTAAAGATTCATTTGTTTTTCTGAACTGGTAAGATAAATTCCTCTTACTGACTACAAATTACAGAAGTTGGTATACTAAAGCAAGTATTTTGTTTTATACAATAGTAATTAATGTACCTTTTTTGAAAATGGCTAATAAAAAATACCTATAACATCATTTGACTCAATAATTACACTATTACAATTCATGCACTTATGCAATATTATGAACGCACTTGTCAATTTTTAGCGAAGTAAGCATCACCCTCAAGATGGCTAAAATCCTTTAAGTCCTGAATTTTTATGTAATCCTTTGGCAGAGAAAACCCCAATTGTCTGATAAGGATTTCTGAGACAAAGAGATTGCTCTTTAGAACTATAGTGGTTCACTTTCTTATACTCAGAAAATTGAAATTTCTTTCTTCGGTTTTGTTTCTAATTAATTTACAGATTGTATTACTCTGATAATACCTTGATAAAAAATGTTGCTACACAACGAGGGCTTTGCCACTGAAACAGACATAATGGAATCTACAGGACTTAATGTTTATATTAAAATATAACCTTATTTGATAGTATACTAGCCTCCTGAAAAAGGGGATTCCCTTCACTCCTAGGTTCCCCTAACTGCTTCTCCTCTTTTCCTTGGGCTATTAGTCAATATGCTTGTGAACCTGTTCAGGTGCTTGATGACATGAAGTCTTGAAGATACTTAGATGAAGGTGTCTTGAAATTTGCAGGCACAAAGCACTAAAGTACCTCATCATATCAAATGAAGAAATGACCTTTAGAAGCAAAAAAGAAAATATAAAATGGATTATGGTCTATCTTTTCTAAAGCAGCAGCTATTTTTCTGTCCCCTCACCCCCTAAACTCAAACCTTAACCAAAAATTCTTCACCGAAAATATTACATTTTATAGTTCATATTTGGACCTCACTGTAGTCCTCTAGAATATGCAGGGTATTTCACAGTTACAGAAACTGAGGCTCAGAGTGGTAAAAGGTATAAATTACAAAAGCTGGAAAACAACAGAACTCAAGTCTTCTGACTCCATATCCTTTCAATTTTCTACTGTGCAACAAAGCCTAAAATTTTCTACTAGAAGGGGCTATCAGTCATTATAATGAAATCACTTCACCATATACTTTTCTTATTCCTTTGAGAGTAGCTGTAAGAAAGTAAAGGCCTGGAAGAGACATCATAGTTGAGGGAAGGCATATACAAAATTGTGTTCTTTACAAAATTAAGCAGGGAGGCACACTATTTAAGAACTTTCCCAGAGGCTGGGGGGAAATGCTTCCTTTTAGAAAAAGGAGCCTCACAGCTCTGCCGGTGGAGAGGGAATTCTCACCAATGGGGGGAAAAAATCTCCTTATCATTTACTTGAAAAACTCCGTCTGACTCTTTTCTCTCTGAAGCAAGAACCTTTTCCCTAAGGATGCCAAAGGGCACAATACGCTTATTTTGGTACACATAGTGGTTTTTTGTTTGTTTTTAATTGTGGTCCACAAAGTGTTTTAAAGAAAAATTGAATTCGACTTTCTCACCATAATCTCCACCACTGATGTAAAACCAGGCCAACTCACTCATTACAAATGAGGTGCTCAAATTTTTAACACCTGATATTTTAATTCTGTTAATTCCATTTGGTAATACTTCACGTTCACTAAAAGAAACCCTACATTGAATTTTCAGATATTTTGAAAAATCACCACCTATTTCTTACATTTAGATTGTTTTGGAGCCCTAATAATATTTATAGTGGATACCAAATTAAAAGAAATTATTCTGATTTTCAGATATTTTTTAGAATATTGCCTGAGAAACTTTCAAGGACTAAGATTTACATCTCACCACTATTTGAAGAATGGAAGACTTCTGAATGGATATTAAGTTATTAACTTACTCTAAAAAAAAGTATAATACTATAGAACCTAGTATAAAGGATGATCAGATGTACCCCAGGGGTCCATGCACAGAACAGACAGGCTTTGTTTTAATACCTCTATCTAACAAATAGTGTGAGATCATTTAAATTATCAAAAGGTTCAGTGTTTCTTTTAGCTCACTTTAATATTAGTTTTTGTATATCACTAACAATTTGGTGAAGTCCAGTGAGGTCTGGAGGTAGCAAAATTGTCCAGAACTACCATTAATTGAAGACCAACCATAAAGATAATGTCTTAGTAAAATAAAAAATTTAGTAATGCCTCCTTTATCCACTTGTGTGATTAAAATGTTACCAACAATGATTTTCTTTTCCTCAGATGGCTAAAGCTTCTCTCTTATGCACCATAATTCTATTTTATAATCATTTTGAACAGAAATTAATATATGTATTATCCAAATCACTTTTTAAGCAGGATGCAATTAATGAGAATTTAATTTGCTTGATAAGAGGCATCATTATTAATATAAATTTTGCACTATCCTCAAGGGCCATACAGATACGTAGCATTGCTTACTTCTAGCATAAAATGGTCCCAGAACCTTGTACTGGGTAGTACTGTCTGTTCTGTTTTGTTTTGTTTCCTCAGTATTAGCTGACAGTTCTTGATACAATAGTGCCCACCTCTGCTAACACCAACTACATTTAATTTACCTGTTATCTGCTATAAGCTCATAATAATTCTAACAAGCTGGATTAAATATGTCAGACAATAATACATGTCTGTAGTCCTTTGCCAGAGAGTTGAAGTGATTTTTGACATCTTAGTACTGTTTTTTTGGTACTATTCTTTTAAGGTACACAGTTGTGTTTTTAAGGATTTAGGTTGTTGGAACCCTGATCTCCAGATATGTGGGCCATTTTCAAACACAATATAAAGCAAGCTTTAAAGAAGTAATTTTAAATGTTCAGAAACAGTTACTGTATAGATTAGAAAGTAAGGCTACCTGATATCTCACTGAAATGACTCATTTA